TTCTTTGCCCCCAGAAAAGAGCAGCTATAAATATTGTTGTACATATAAGTTCTTTTCTTCTTGGTTTTTTTTTCATGTCTTTTTGGATAGAGACCTAGTAGTGGTATTGCTAGGTCAAAGGGTATGTATGCATGATTTTATAGCACTTCAGGCATAGTTCCAAATCACTCTCCAGAATGGTTGAATCAGTTCATAACTCCACCAATACTGCATTAGTGTCTCATTTTTCCTACATTCCATCCAACATTTGTCATTTACCTTTTATGTCCTATGAGTTAATCTAATAAATATGAGGTAGTACCTCAGAATTGTTTTAATTTGCATTTCTCCAATTGATATTGACTTAGAGCATTTTTTCATATGGCTATACATAGCTTTGATTACTTCATCTGAAAGCTGACTGTTCATATTTTTTGATCATTTGTCAATTGGGAAATGGCTCTTATTTTTGTAAACCTGACTCATTTCTCTATATATTTGAGATGAGGCCTTTATCAAAGAAAATTACTTCAAATATTTTTCACAGTTATGATTTCTTATTGTATTTCCGTCCATCCTATTTCCCTCCCTGCCTGTCTTTGTATTCTCTCTCTCCTTTCATCCTGTCCCTCCTCACAAGTGTTTTACTTCTGACTATTGCCTTTCCCAATCCACCCTCCCTTCTGTTAGTACCTTCTTGTATCACCTTCCCGTCCTTTCCTGTAGGGTAAGATAAATTTCTATACCCAACTGAGTGTGTATGTTATTCCTTTTTTGAGCCAATTCTGATGAGAGTAAGGTTCACTCACTCCCCCTCACATTCCCCCTCTTCTCTTCCACTGTAAAAGCTTTTTCTTGCCTCTTTTATGTGAGATAATTTATCCCATTCTACCTCCCCTTTCAATTTCTCCCAGTACATTCCTCTATCACCCCTTAATTTTATTTTTTTAGATATCATCCTTTCATATTCAGCTCATACATGTGCCTTCTGTCTATATATGCTCCTTCTAACTGCCTTAATAATGAAAAAGGTCTTATAAGTTACAAATATTATCTTCCCATGTAGCAACGTAAATAGTTTAACCTTATTAAGTCCCTTATGATTTACCTTGCCTGTTTACCATTTTATGTTTCTCTTGAGTCTTGTATTTGAAAATCAAATTTTCTCTTCAGCTCTGGTCTTTTCATCAAGAAAGCTTGAAAGTCCTGTATTTCATTGAATGTTTACCCCTGAAGGATTTGACTCAGTTTTTCTGGGTAGGTGACTTTTGGTGGTAATACTAGCTTCTTTGTCATCTAGAATATCACACTCCAAGTTCTTTGATTCTTTAACTTAGAAACTGCTAAATCTTGTGTCATCCTGATGATGGCTCCATGATACTTGAACCATTTCTTTCTGGCTGCTTGCAATATTTTCTCCTTGACCTGGGAGCTTTGGAATTTGGCTACAATATTTTTAGGAGTTTTCCTTTTGTGATCTCTTTTAGGAGGTGATCAGTGGATACTTTTAATTTCTTTTTTATCCTCTGGTTCTAGAATATCAGGGCAGTTTTTCTTGTTAATTTCTTTTTTTCCCCTTTTTTTCTTTTTTGCAGAACAAACTAAAGTTTTATTAAATGCTGAACAAATTAAAAAAGCTAATGAAAACACATTATGAAACAGGAATTATAAAGCAATCTATACAATACTGTCAGTGAAAATGTCAAAACCTATCAGTTTATAACATAACGACCAAGTCCACCTCCATGAACTTCTGACAGCCATCAGCAGTGCCTTAAAATGTTCAGTATCACATGAAACTGCTTGTCAACTTTCAAATTTGTGAACTCTTTTATATCAGCTACTACTACAAAGTATTAGCCTTTGGTATCCTTGGTTTCATCTTCAATGAATCTGTGATACAGATTTCTGATAGAAGAATTCATAGTTTTGGGGGGCAAATTTAGGATTCTACATTTACTAGCCACTGCCTTGTTGATTTCTTTAATAAAATCATTAATTTGACAGTATGTCAGACGAGATTTCATATACCCAGGCACATTATTGAATTCATCAGAAGTTAATAGTAAAATTTCTTTAATTGGTTTTTGCTCTTTTGAGGGTTTCTTTGGTGTTCAGATACTGTCATTTTAACTTGCTCTTCAGGATTAGCATTTGGTTCCACCGCACAACTCTGGACTACTTTGGGCAAATGGGGAGGAATATTTTCCTAAGGTTATATATTTCTTTGTAATTTCCATCAAGGGATTCCTGTAACTCCCTAAGTGAATTCCTGACATGTTCTTGATATTGAACCTCCAGCTCCAACTTGTTTAAAAGGTCATTTAGAAGAGTGATTTCATTTCTAATTTTCTAAAATACGGTCTTTCAGGCTGGATCACGTCCTATATTTTTCAACTGCAGAATTTTCTTAACATGGGAATTTTTTCATTGATGTGAGAACACAAATGTTCCAGCTCTGCACCAGCCATCCTTTATGCTTCTTTGAGGGAAGATGCTATCTAGATCTATACACATGTATGTGTATATTTCCCATGCCATGTGGTGTTTTGAAGTCTCGGTGCTGAAAATAGCTTGCGAGGAAGCCCTGGTGTGCAACCAATTCAAACTGCGTGCCCTCATCTGCCCTTGTTAATTTCGTGAAAGATGGTGTCTAAGCTCTTTTTTTCATCATGGCTGTCAGGTAGTCCAATCATTTTGAAATTATCTCTCCTGGATCTATATTACAGGTCAATTGTTTTTTCCAATGAAATATTTCACATTGTCTTCTATTTTTAAAATTCTTTTGATTTTGCTTCATTGCTTCTTGATATCTTAAAAAGTCATAAGCTTTCATTTGCTCCAATCTAATTTTTAAGGAATTATTTTCTTCAGTGAGCTTCTGTACCTTCTTTTTTCATTTGGCCAAGTCTACTTTTTAAGGAGTTCTCTTCAGTGAATTTTCGTATATCTTTTATTTTTTGGCCAATTCTGCTTTTTAAGGCCATTCTTCTCCTTATTGGCTTTTTGCACCTTTTTTTTTTTACCATGTGGCCCAGTCTGTTTTTTAAGGTGTTATTTTCTTCAGAATTTTGTGTGTGTGTGTGTGTGTGTGTGTGTGTGTGTGTGTGTCTCCTTTACCAAGCTGTTGACTCATTTTTCATGATTTTCTTGCATCACTCTCATTTCTCTTCCCATTTTTTCCTTTACTTCTCTTACTTGATTTTCAAAATCCTTTTCAAGTTCTTCCATGGGCTGAGACCAATTCATACTTTTCTTGGAGGCTTAAGATGTAGGAACTTTGACTTTGCGATCTTCTTCGGAGTGTGTGTTTTGATCTTCCTTATTGCTGTAGTAACTTTCTATGTAGAATTTTTTCTTCTTGTTTGCTCATTTCCCCAGCCTATTACTTGACTTTAAGTCTTTGTTAAAGTATGGCTCTGCTTCCAGGTAGGTCTGCCCCAAGCTTGAGGCATTTTATGCAGCTATTTTCAGAGATACTCCTGGGTACCAGTAAGTTTTTAGTTCTTCCAAGGTGGTATGATATAAGGAGAGTGTTTACTCCTCTCCTGACCTGGGTTCTAGTCTGTGAGTGACTGCAAACACTCTTTTGTGCCCTGGGACTGTGAGGAGGGTCCCCGTCCCACTGTGGCTGCAACTCGGGTGCTCTAGTGCTTGTTCTTGCCCTGGACTGCTACCCAGGACTGCAACCCTGATCCGAATGTGGGCAAAGCAACAGATTTCTGCCTCAGTGCTAACAAAAAGATCCCTTCAATCTCCTTCTGACCAGTGGTTTGACCCCTATACATCATGTGTGGGCTCTTTGCTCCAGAAGCAGCTGCTACTGCTGCTTATTCAGTGTCTGCTGGGTTCTGGTCTGTGCTAGCAAGGACTGTCCTGGAATATGTTCTACTCTCACCCAGGTGTGACAGACCTTTCCTGCTGACCTTCCAAATTGTCTTTGGCTAGAAAATGATTTCACCCCCTCATTTTGTGGGTTCTGCATCTCCAGGAATTGTTTTATGACATTATTTAAAGGTGTTCAGAAGGGTTTTAGGGAGAGCTTAGACCACTGGCTCCCTTTTCTTTACCATCCTGCCTCTGCTCCCCCCCCCCCCACCACAGAGGTTGGATATTGAAAACCTGGAGAGTGTCCAGAGCATGGTGAACATATCGATCATCATCTGTCTATTTGATTGAGGTCTTATGATTTTGCCATGTGAGGATCCACAGGAAAAAACAAACAAACAAAAAACTGGCAAGATAATTTAGGGAAGGTGAGGGTGGGTGGGTGGGTGGGTAGAAGGCATGAGAGCTGTTTTTAAGTAATTGAAGGGATTAGATATGGTCTGCTTGCTTTAGAGGGCAGAAATAGAAGCAATGATTGTACATTGTAAAAAAAAATTTAGGCTTGGCATAAAGAAAACTTCCCAATAATTAGAGCTATTCAATAATAGAATAGGCTGGCTCAAGAGATTGTGGGTAACCCTTTCACTGGAGTCCTCAAAGCAAAGGTTTGATGGTTACCTGTTGGGTATGTTGTACAGGAAATTTTTGTTCAGGTACAGAATGGTACAGATGGTCCCTTCTAATGCTCTGACTCTATTATTCTAGCACATTTTTACAAAAATCCAATTCTCCATCTCTCTAATTACCCTAAATACAATTTTTGTAGCCGCATCCTCATGTATTATGCATCTAATATGGCTCAAAGTGAATGCAGTAATTCGGTAAAATTGTTGGCAATTGAAAACCCTGTGATACTGCTGCTGGCAATAGGAACAATGCACTTAGGTCACAGTGGTGGGCATCACCTGCTGAACCACATATGTAATCAGTGTTTGAGTAATATACATTCTTACAAGACAGTGGGAGGATGATAGGAGTATTTAGTGAGGCAATGGGAATGCTTAGTCATCCATAAGAACAAAGCAGGTTAATCTGGTTCCCTAAAGGTACCTTTAAGCAAGAAAGGAGATTCTTATACAAACAAGTGAAAGAATTGAGAGAGAGAGAGAAATACTAACATTCTGTATTCTTACCCCTATTGTTCCAAAACTTTCTGGTTTTCGCCTCATCTTTTTCTTGCATAGGTGTGTCCAAATCCACTTGAGAAGATACCAAAGAGACTTGGGGCTTGGGATGACATTGAAGGGAGTGGGCAGAGTACCTCCTTCTTCAAAATAACTCATCCATAACTTTGTCCGTGCAAATTTCCATTCAATATCTGCATGGTCCTAAACAAAAGAACATGATAATTACTGGCTGGCCTCGTAATTGCCAGAACTAGGTTTCTACCTTAATTCACAACCATTAATTCTAATTGATGATGAGCTTTCACTCCAACTTTCATTGCCTGCCCCCTCCTCACCAGAAAGAGACTTGTACTTCTTCCTGAGAACTACTGTGGACACTGTTAGTATTAATTTAAAAAAAATACACATAGACAATCAAGTCTCTTTTCCTTCCTTAAGTGAAATAGATGTCTCAATAATTCAATACTAAAGGGTTGGCAGTGATAAGGTATCAACTGAAGAAAGACAGTCACCTGTATCATAATTCAGTAGGAAGGTAATCTAACATCAATTATAGATAGCTTTGGAGTGGGGATTGGGGAACGGGACAATGTGATAAATTATGTGTATATGACATTCTTCTTCTCTGTAGAATAAAACCTATGCTTGTTACATTTTGCCTTGGGATCAATTCTCTACTTTTAGGGAGGTTGCAATATGCTAAGAAGGTTATGGCTCTTTTTTTTGTTCAGGGCTTCCCTCTTTCAGAGCTACATTTAATACAGCCTTGGCCAGCTAATCCTGAAAAAGATCATGGCCAGAGGCAGTACTGGAGCACGTAGGTCTGAGACTTTGGTCCTCTTTAAATGTTTCCCATACAACGTGTTGAGTGACATTAGAAACCTCATAGCCAAAGGTCTATGCTTTCAGTCATCTTTCACCCTAAGCAGAATAAATCTGAATTAAGCAGACATTTTGGGAAGAGTAAGAGGATTCGAGCACGCTGAGAATTTATAGTGCCAGGCACTTTTGTTGTTGTTTGATTATTTCAGTCCTGTCTGACTCTTTCATGACCCATTTGAGGTTTTCTTGGCAAAGAAACTAGAGGTGTTCGCCATTTCCTTCTCCTTATTTTACAGATGAGGGAATTCAGGCAAACAGAGTTAAGTGACTTGCCCAGGGTCACACAGCTACTAAATATCTGAGGCCAGATTTGAACTGAGGAAGATGAGTCTTCCTGACTCCAGGCTCTGTCCTCTGATCCACTGTGGCATATAGCTACCCAGCTCCAGGCACACTTTTATTTTGATATAGCTTTGGATTGGACCTGTGATTGCAATGGTAGGGTGAGCTCCAGTGAGGAAATTTCTTCCACCAATAGAGATCAACGCTTACTCTATAAGTTATAATCTTAGAGAGTTGCTTGGGGCACATAGGGGTTGAGTGAGTGATTTGTTCAGAGTCAGCATATATCCAAAGTAGGATTTGAACCCAAATCTTCCTGACTCTGAGGCTAGTTCTTTATCTACTATGTCATGCTGCATCTTTACAAGATTTATTTTAGAGACTCACATCATTAGGTATTATTGAATTTAATATAGGATTCAAATTTTAGATTCTAAGCTAAGACTGTGCTTCATTCTCACAATGATGCTCCCCTCAAACATATCATTATTATTTACTGCTGAAAGCCATCTATCATATTAGTCATCTAATTAGAATATAATGCAGAAATCAGGCTTGGTTATTTTCCTTGAAAAATAATGGTGATTATTGACACAATGAACTTATTTCTGCAATGGGGGATTGACCAATTAGGACCTGGTCCTTGCAGCATTCTCAGATTTGTGCTTCTTAGTGGATTATGCAGAACATGTGCAATATTCTCTGCCTGATTCAAGTCCAATATGTGGATGCTTGTTAGCCCACTTTCAGACATGGATGACTAGGGGCTGGTCTTATGTGGTAACAGGGGGCCTTTTGATTGTCTGAGGAGAGGGAAAGAGTGCTGACTCAGAAGGCAGTAAGCTAGAACTGAAATCACATACAAAAGGACTGCTGTACACCTTTTCAGTCCTTGTGCACTTTTCTTTTCCCTTTTTTGCTCTTGAGTGAGGAAGACTGCTATGCACTGTCTGTTGGGGGGAGGGCAGATTTCCACCCACCTAGTCACCAGGTGTCTGCCAACACATCTTGCCTTTGTTTCTTTTGTATTTATTCTTTGTATTTATTGTATTTATATGTATTCTTTGTATTTATTCTTTACTGATTTAGGATGAATAAGATGGGACTCTCCAGGTGTCCAATGACAACTGTGGATCCAGCAAAGCCATCAAAGATGCCTCTCACCAACAAATGGAGTTGGTGGCAGAGTCTGCTAGAGAGTTAATAATCAGTGGCAGAAGAAACATTTACAGAAGGAGAAAAGACTGTCCCATGAGAAAAGGCAGGAGATTTTGGATCGTGGACCCATGTGACAGATGGATGTGCTGGCTGTTGACCCTTGAAAGGAACCGAACTTAGTGAAACAGACAAAAGGTAAACCTCATGAGGGATTCACAAAGGGAGAAAAAGACTTCCAGGGCTAGGAATTAGGTTCTGTCCTTTGATCACTTGGGTTAGACTGGAATGAGGCAGGGAACAAACAGGAAGAATTGCACGTTTTATTTTGTTTTTTCAAACCCATCAGGAAGGTACATCTTAGTATGGTCTATGGGCTAGGCCAACTGTCCACTCCCCCATTATACTTCTTTTAAAAACAAATGACAAACAGCTTTTTATATTCTGACCAAATGTTAGAGAATATTTAGGCAAATTAGAGCCGAAGTGAGGATAAGATCTACAATAGTTATTAACTATAAATCCTCCCTGGATTTGTGCAGATGACTAGAGTTACTTAACTTTAAAGTTATTTCTGTCTCTCACATTACCAGCAAGACATCAGGTGTGATTTTAGCATGGTTCATGGGGAGTGAAGACTCTTCTAAAACTCACCACTTCTTTTTTCTTTTCTTCTTATTAATTTCTTTTATATGCCTGGGTTAGGGAATACAATAGTAGCTACAAGGGGGTGATGCAAACAAGAGGAAGGAAGGGTTAAGATGGAGGTGATGGCAAGCTTCCTGCTGTTTAGATCTTTTCTCATCATGCCAATTCCTCTCTACATCACATTGTCTTTCTCTTTGACCATCCTTACTGGGAGGTGAGGAGGTGGAAGAAAAGGAAAAGTGGCTCAAGACTATTTCTGAATTTAGTGTCAAATTTCCGAGTCAAGAGAAAGAGAGAAATTTGTGCTTGTGAGTATAGTGAGTTGGCAGCATATGTGGATAATCCAGTAAGATTTAAACTCTAATTTCATTATTATTATTATTATTATTATTATCAGTAGTAGTAGTAGTAGTAGTAGTAGTAGTAGTAGCTTGAAGAATTTTAACAGCTATAATTTATATATCACTTTAAGTTTTGCAAAATGCTTTGCATATATTATCTCATCTGATTCTCTCATTTCCAGGATCTCCTCTCCTGGAACAGCAGATTAACTTGGAAAATGATTTGCTCACTATTGTTTAAGCCTTTCCCCTCAGCATCAGGACAAATCTTAGGCTCTATTGTCTCATTTTACTTTCTGTATTGAATAAGAACATTTTGGAACTTGCTGGATCAACATTTTTTTGACAGGTGGGTGGCTTCTCTGTATAAACTGTGATAATTAAGAGCTTTCTAAGTCTCTCTTTTTTTTCCCTTCTGACAAACGGAACTTGGATTTTTGAATGTGAGCTAGCTAGAGGAACATTATACAACTATTTAGATCATCAATATAATAAGCTATTATTCCCCCTAAACCTTCAGGTAAGATAGGTGTCTGGAAAATCTTTTACATCAGAAGTACGTCAGAAACTCTCGTAAATCCTAATACTTGACATATATGACATTGTGACTTTCTGTAAGACTTTAGGTCTAGGAATCACTGCCTAGAAAGCATTTATTCACATAGTTTTTTGTGGTATTTCATCTGTGATAGGTATACTGTGGAAACCAGTGTGCCTTCGTAAATACAATTCAGAGCTGGCTTCTCATTGAAATAATTTTGGCAACAATACATAGGTAAAAGAATGGGAATGAAAATGGCATTCCATTGAAATTATATACAATGAAAATTTGGCAACTTGTGGGTCAAATACTCAGAGTGGATTGTACTTGTGAATTGCTTTATGAAATAGAAATACATGGAACAGAAGGACTTTATTGCTTTCTATCTTGTTCTGCCATTATCTTTTGTTCACATGTGCACATTAATTTTGGGAAAAAATATTGTACTTGGCTATGCAATAAAGAACTTGTACATCTTTCTTTAATTGCTACAACCCTGAAGTACTAAGTTATGTCCGTTGCCTTTGTATATTGTCTCCTCCTATTTTAGAACGTAAACTCTCTGAGAGCAAGAAATCTTTGCCTTGTATTTGTATCTCCAGTGTTTGGTTCATAGGAGGCACTTAAATTATTTTTATTCATTTATTCATATAAAAGAAAGAAAGAAAAAAAGACATATACATAGAGGAACTCTCTAAAAGAAAGAAAAATAAAAATAGAAGGAAATGAAAAATAAATTAGACTAGTGCTCACAAAATTCTATAATTTCACTCTGTCTCTTTAAACTGACCGTTCCTGAAAGTTATTTCCCAAATCTATTCATGGAATGTGGGAATAGTTAGAAAGGAAAGTACTGAATTTAAAGTAAATAATTTTACTTACAGCAATTAGTTGGTAAGAATTATTCATCATAGCGATAAGCATGTTGAGTAGAACAACTAGAGAGATGACATTGTATGTTCCAAACATGGTGGCCCCAACAAATTCTGTGAATTCATGCTGTGCTTTGACATTGGTCACATATAGATTAATTAGCCCAAATATAGACCAAAATAGAGACTGAAGTGTCTCAAATAGCCTGGAGAAGATAAAAGACCATTAAATATATTTATTAGAATATCTTAAGAATAATATAAAGCTCTCTCTACACACTTACATATATATATATATACACACATACACACACACACATACATTTACACACACATACACATATATATGTATGCATATACATATATATATATATATACATTTTTCTCTAATATTCATTTGATTAATGATGTTATCAGCAGAACCATTATTTTAGATAAATATGAGTTAAAATTGAAATAAGAAAAAGAAGGGACATTGTAGTCCTACTTCCAGAAGAGTGATTCTAATTCTTCCTCAGACAAAAATGGTCCCTAGTAGTAAATCTTTGAATAGAGTACTACATATTCATCTAGTAACATTTAAAAATGATGAGTTATGTAGTTATAAATTTGAGGAAATTAAGTTTATCCTTTTAATTAATTGCTCTCTGTGTCCTGTCTTTTTTCCCCTCTCTCTCTAACTCTTCTCTGTCTCTTTCTGCCTCTGTCTCTGTCTCTCTGTCTTTCTCTGTCTCTCTCTGTCTCTCTCTTTTTTCCCTCTCCCCTTTTAGACTGTTAAAAAAAATCATATTGCTACCCATTTCTTATGCTTGCAAGATGAGGCATGGATAAGTCTTAGAAGGTTTGGAAACCAAAATGTAAACAATTTCTTATTCACCTTTAACCCTTCAGGTGACTTTAAAAAATTAAGATAGAGAGGTGGCCTTGGAGTGAGAATAAGTTGGGTTCATGTCCCACTTCTGACACATATTGGCTATGTGATGTGGGCAAGTCCCTTTTAACCTGTTAAAATCCTGTCAAACTCTCTAATACTGTACATTGTAGCAAAGCAGACCCTGATATGCACCAGCAGAGAACAATTCTTCACCTGGGTCCTCATTACATGTCAGACAGACTTCCCCCTATAAAACAAACAAACAAGCAAACTCTACATGAACTTAGTTACCTTTCATGAAGAACAAACATTCCCAAAGAAGCTCATATCTCATTGAGATAGGAAGAACATACTTTCTTCATAGCCCATCAATATCTTGCCTCAAAAATGATTTACACTTCTAGAGGACTTTAAGGTTTACAAAGCACCTATAGGACACAGATTTAGAGCTGGAAAGGACCTTAGAGGTCATGTAGTTCAGCCTCTTCATTTTGCAAACGAAGAAATGGGGTCAAGAGGCTAAGCGATTTGCTAGGGCCACTTCTGGTAAAAGTTTGAGTTAGGATTTGAACGCAATCCATGTCTAATACTCTACTATGCCTCATAACAACCCCTTGAGGTAGGGGGAAATTTTTTAGCATCCCCATTTTATTGATGGGGAATCATGTACCAAGGAGTGATTGATTTGTTCAAAGTCACACAACTAGAGTCAGAAACAGGATTTGCATTTGCATTTCCTGATTTTAAGGAGAACTATATCCTCTCAAGTAAGAAAAGATTAAGAATTATTAATTATTTCACCAAATTTAGGACTCATAAGCCAGCAGGTAAATCTTACCGTTTTTTACTGGACTAAAATGTCTAATGATTTATTTGTTATTGTTGTTGCTTTTTTACAATACTAGGGCAAACAATTCAATTTACTGGGTTAGGGAATTAATTATCTGAGGAAGTTTCAACTCCAAAGAGGCAAATCTAATTCTTGGAAATGAACTAGCTGTTCTTATTAACTTTAATAATCATTGACTAAAAGTAAAAGTGTTATTTGAACTCTCCAACTCCACTATGATCTCCTTAGTATCCTTTGCCAAACACTGTTTTCTCACTGTTAATACACAAATACAAATCTTCAGCTTGTGTTTCTCCAACATATGACAGTTCAGAAGGAGATAGACATTAAATAAAACATGCTGCCTACTAAAGCTTCCATAATCCAACTGATGTAAGTATTTTAGTAAGTGATTTTTTAATGTCAAATTAAAACAGTGCTACAAAATAAATGTTATTGTTATGGTTGGGAAGTATTTATTTACTCATACCTAAATTATTCCCATCTGTCACATCAGCAATATTTAGAAGCCTTCTGTAAAACATTCATTTGAATTTTTCAATTTGAATTAAAAAAAGAGAAACTAAATTCAAATTTCATAAGTATCCCTTTATCTCACGTTTTCTTTCTGAGGTAACGCTCATTTCCCCATATCTTTTAACAAAGAGGAATCACTCTTTAGATTTGTGTATCATCCATTGACCTTAAAGATGTTTAGCAGATTCTTGAATTAAGCTCCTGATCTTGGTGTTAACAACCTGATGTTTTGTCAAATCAAAACTCTTTCCCCCCCTCCGCCTTTAGCTAAGATTTCAGTATCCCAGCTTTTCATCATCATTGGATCTTGTGACATACCCAAATTAATTGAATTGATCAATGCACACAGGTAAGGGATCAGAATAAATCTCAATATGGATTGCCTTCTTTCATAGGAACTACTTTCCTAAGATTGTACTGAGATAAGGAATGGAAACTCTCCCAGACAAGGTCAGGACTTTCTTTTAACAGCTGATATCCCTTGCTTAAAAATATATATCCTGGTGTTTATGTCAAAATTTAAGGAGATATTTTTCCCCTTACTAGGATAACATTTAATTAACCCATTGTCTTTTGTGGAAGCTGTTTCCCAAGGCCTTTTAACAATTAATTTCTTTTCTTGTTCAAATAACACTAAAGGAAATAACATTTACTGGTTGTTCCCCATAAAACGGAAATTACAAAGCACATAGAACATAAAGTAACAAAAAAGACACAAAAGTATTATTCTTCAGACACCAATAATGTATGACATCAAAATGCACATATCAATATCTTCAATTCTGTGATATTTTAAGCTCTAGTAGCCCAAATATAAGGAATAGTCTCCTTTGCCAATTAATTATCCATATTATGCTTCTTAATTGTAGGTATTTCCCACAGCTTTCTTCTCCCTTTATATTCTCCTTCTTGGTGGCTTCATCATCTTCCATGGGTTTAATTATCATCTCTCTGCTAGTGACTTGCAAATTTATGTATCCAACCCCAGCTCTTCCCTGTGTGTCAACCCCACACCACTGATTGCCTGTTGGACAATTCAAATTGAATGTCCTTGAGACATCTAAAACTCAGCACATGCAAAACAGAACCTTCTATCTTTTCTCCCCAAACTCATCCCACTCCAAGTTGCCATATTTCTGCCAAAGGCACTACTCTTCCTCCAGGCTCCTCATATCCTCGATTGCTTGCTCTCCTTCACTGAAAATGTCCAATCAGTTGTAAAATCTTTCTGTTTTTACCCCTACGTTTCTCATATATGCATCCCACCTCCTCACACAACTAAACACCACTTTCGATGGCTTGTATTTATAGTTTTAAAGTTTGACAGTGTAATTTCATTTGAGTCTTTCTACAGCCTTATGAAGTAGGTGCTATTATTACCCCTATTCTACAGATGAGGAAACGGAGGCAGATGGAAGTGAAGTGACTGGCCCAGGGTTCCACCATATTTGAACTAAGGTCTTTTTGATTCTAGGTCCACAGCTTTATACAGCTTGAACTAAAGTTCAAGCCCTCAATGCCTCTAAGCTAATCTATAATCTATTTCAGTAGCTACCTAATTGATCTTCCTGCCTCACCTTCATTCTATCCTCCATAATGCTACCAAAGTGATATTCCTTAAGCACAAATCTGGTCATTAATTAACCATGCAATCATTTATTAGGCATCTGCTATATGCCAATGGCTCTTCTGGACATTAGAGATAGAATTTGTTCTTAAAAAATGAAATAATTTTCACTACCCATGTCTCTCTTACTCAGTAAAACCTCTTAAGCTTCTCTGTCTGGCTTTTCAAACCCTTCTCAATATGATTCCAACCCCTTTGTTCATTACTCCTCTTTGCAGATTACTCACTCCCTCAGGCTGATCTCTATGACTGAGACAAATGTGTCTCCTTGCAATCCCATTCTGTGCCTTCACATAGGAGGTGCCCTGTCTCTTAAATGCCTTCCTTCCTCACCGACCTCTAAAAGACACAGCTCAAGCACTACTTTCTACATAATATCTTTCCTGATTCCTCTAATTGCTTATGCCTTCTAAACTACCTAGCATTTAACTACTTTTAACTTTATTTACTTTTTGTCTATTTAATCATCATATAGCTAAAATATGTACTGTTGTCTTCCCCATTAGAATGTTAGCTCCTTGTAAGTAGGTATGTTTTATTCTTTGTATTTCTATCTCCAGTGTTTAGTGCAGTTCTTGACACAGATTAGGTGCCTACTATATATTTCTTGATTGAGAGAGTGATTGCTGTAGGGCTAGGAGTGTAAGGAAAATAACTCTCACAAAGTCCAAGTACTCTCCACTAGGAAGGCATATACACCTTAAGGCTCCCACCTAGAGCCTATTGGTTTGGAATTGTGGATGGAATAAATACAATGATTTATGGTGATCTGATTTCCCTCGATGGTCTTCAGTTCTTCCTAGGTTACCATTGAAAGGTCGATGGAAACAGCGGGGAGTTTGGGTTGCTATGCACAGTAACATTCACAGCAGTGAAAAGGAATAGCTGATAAGAGAATAAAAAATAATGTAAAATGGAGACAGAAGAATTTTCTAAGTCATGCTTTCTGGGGATATTTAGTGTAGGAGACCTAAGGGCCTCTCTGTATAGCATATTAAAACAGTTGACATAAAGGATAATAATGTCAACATGAAAATGTTATCTTTTTTTTTATTTTTCGGTATGCCTGGATGAATAAGACACATATGTGTCTAGAAAAAGAATAATAGTAATTATCCAGGCAATAGACTATATGAACAGCCAGTCCAGCTGCACAAGTGAGTCAATAAGGGGTATAGATAGTTCACAGACTCTCAGAATGACAAGACGGCCTCAGAAGGAATCTCTGAGGCATGTAGGTGGTGCAGTGAATAGAGTGCTGGGTCTGGAGTCAGAAAAATATGAGTTCAAATATGGGCTCAGATATTTACTAGCTGTGTGACCCTGGGCAAGTCACTTAACCTCTGTTTTCTTCAGTTTTCTCATCTGTAGAATGCAAATAATAATAGTACCTCTCTTTCAGTACCCCTCCCCAGAGTTGTGAGGATCAAATGAGATCTGTGTAAAGCACTTAGCACAGTGCCAGGAAATGGTATTTTCCCCCAACAATGTAATCCACAGACTGTGTACTAAGGGATTACTATCTGTATCAGGGCAGAGACTACCCAATTCAGTGAAATCAAGAGTCCTTGAGAATTAAAGTATGAATGGATATTTTTTGGGGGTGGCACAATTCTCATCCAGAAAGGGAGAAGTGAGTCACAAATAAAAGTTTTAACATTACATTCTGTTTAAGATCTTGAGCATCAATCTTCCTAGGCCTGTGCTAATTAATTTTGTTTCATCAATAACTGTAATATCATATTTGAAGTTTCTCAATTCTCAAACCACCCTTTGATTTCATAACTCTCAAATAATTAAAAAGATAAAACATTTAATTTTTATGAGATGATATTAAAGAAAAATGTCATAGTGGTCTTTAAAACAAAGCATAGAGGTGTTTTACTTTGTTTTTAAAATGTATTTTAAACTTTTTATGTTGTGAGTCCAATAACATTTCCTTTTTTTCTACATTGAGCACCTTTAAAAAAAAAATAACCCAACAGCAAACGACCATTCCCCTTTAGTAGCAGCATCACACTTAGGTACTGCTTTACATTTGTGAAATGTTTTCACAATTGTCATCTTACAATAGCCCTGTGAGAATGGCAGGGCAGAACCAATCATCTCTGATTTACAAGTGATGAAACTGAAGCAACTTGCTTACTATCATTCAGTCTATCCCTGGCACAACGTAAACCTCTGTCCAGATGCAGTTCCTGACTCATCATTCCCATTCTATCGCAGCTGCTGTAGATTTCTTAACTTCCAGACATGACATTGTACCAACACAGCCCTGAGCTACCCACCAATAGAAACATCTGTGGAACTTACGTGGAAAAGGCATTGTTCTGTTTCTCACACCGTATTCCTTTGCAATTTGTTCCTTTTGTTTCTTCGTAATAAAAGTACAGCTGATTCAAACCGTTTGCAAAAGCGAGCAATACAAGACAATAAATGAACAGAAACTTCAAAATGTCTAGCAGCATTCTTCCCAGAGAGATCTGCAGAGGTCCCAAGTGAGAATTGGCAGTGAACAGTGAGATCAGACGCAGAGAACTGAAGATGTTTGCGATAGCAAATAAAGCCTCTGCCACCAAAGTGGGGTGCCACATATCCCAAGATTCCCGGGGGTTAAGTGCACTATACTGGAGAGAACAGAAAAGAAGAAAAGAGAGAGTGAACCATATCTGCTTAGTATACATGCACAGATGCATGTACGTGTAAAATTCAGCTCTGTGCTATTTCTGTTTTAGCATCTCTAGCACAATCTTTCATTTCAAGGCTTCCTCCACATTTGCAATGATATGAATCTGATTCAGAATAAATGGTGTCTAATTTTGTGCCACACTAAAGCATCTCATAGGGGTTTTACTCATCTGACTGTGGCATTAGTATTTTTGTTCATGTGGGTATGGTATTTGTTCCCATAACACTCTGAGATTAAGACACTGGAGGTTTGTGATTCCTTTTGAGTATGACTATAGATGTTGGCTAATAGTGACAGCCTAACAGTGTGAGGCATTGATGGGAATGCCATAAGAACAAATATTTGTTTTAGGAAAAAGAAAATATCCACACACAGTTTTAATGATATCTACAAAAACTTAATGGGCTAATTCAAGATATATCAAATAAAATTATTTAAGGGAATAAATATATTTCTAATTTTGAGCTAAAATGTCAATCATTTTGGAAATAGTGCAGACTGACATGAGCCTCACAATGCACATATGCATATATATGTATGTATTTGTGTATGTATATATATATATATATTATATTTATATGTGTGTGTGTGTGTATGCACATATACATTTATAGTGAACCGATGAAGAGAAAATATAGTAGAACTAGGAGAACAATGCACATTGACTACAATACCATGCATTAGAACAACACTAAAAAGAAACTCAATTTTCAGACTCATCACGATCAGATTTATGACCAATCTTATTCCCAAGAAATGGGTGATGAAACGTGCTGTCCTCCTCTTGGTAAATAGGTGGGGAAATAGAGGTGTGAAACATTGCATATGTCATGGGGCAGATTTTTTATTTTATTTTCTGTAGTGGTGGGGACTCAAGATGGACACATATTAGAAAAAAAGCCATCAACAATATTTGAAAATCAATAATTGTATGGTAGCAAGTAAGTAAAAACAAAATTAGTGAACTGCTGAGTGAGTTACACAATTGTCCAAACAAGTTGATTTCTGTGTGGGAGTGATGGATGAAGTACATTTGTCTGGAAACTCTTAAACTGAGGAGAATTTGTGGGTAGCGCAGTTTTGTCTTTTTTGTAAAGCCTGACTTGCATTATGACTCAAAAAGCAGCAATACATTAGTAAATTAAGAGCAAAGTCAGAATTGAGTTTGATTTCTCAAAGCGATAGCAAGGTTATGATCAGAAAAGAACAGGGGAGAAAGAAAATTTCCCCTGCATCCTTTAGTTAAACTTATTTCTTTTACTGAAGAACACCAATGTGCTTCACTACAGGGGAGGGGGAGATAAGAGGAGGCCAGGAAAGCACTAGAGAAGACACTGGATTCTGTTCTTGCTCACAACTGTCATTTAAAACCAACAGATCCAGATAATAGGATTCTCGTTTGTAATGAGGCCAGAATGAACACACATCCATTTTTGGATCAGCCTGCAATCTTCTTTCTGTACATTTTCCACCAGATGGTGTTACCAGTATTAGCCAATTAATTATCACTGAGGTTGGTAAATAGTGATATCTGTCATGTTACCAATAGAGAACCTTAGGAATGGAGGGATTTTTCTGCCTACTAAGGCAAAGAAAGCAGGGGCAATATGTACAGAAGGGGCTTCTCTTATTTCTATGGAAAACTCTTATTTTCCTTGCAATTCTGAAATTATCACTAGTAGAATGAAATGCTTCCTCTCTAATTTTATCTGCAGACAGTGGTTCCTGAGAGGTTCCACATGCAGTTTGTTTAAAGAATTTGATGAAGGAAGAAATAAAAACAGCAATTTTTTTCTTATTATTTTATCCTTAAGTCTGTATAAATCTGACTCTTATTCAAGCTGGGTGGGGAAAGAGAAGTTTTAAATTTCATATTGCCTATAAAACATGATTCTGGATTAATTGAGAGAATGCTGACCTGACCCTGTGAGATGAGAATTTGGGAGAGAGGAGAGATACTCTTCATTTGTGCTTTGAGAGAAGAAACAAATGGTTCTAAACTGTTTTGGTTACCAACTTCATGGAAAAAGAGAGGGGGGAGAAGGAGAGGGAGAGGGAAAGGGAGAAGGAGAGGGAAAGGGAGAAGGAGGGGAACAGGAAAGGGAGAGGGAGGGAGAGACAGACAGACAGAGACAGAGAGAGTCAGGGAGAGACATTCAGAGAGAGAAAGAGAGAGAGTGAGAGAGAGAGAGAGAGAGAGAGAGAGAGAGAGAGAGAGAGAGAGAAAAGAGAGAGAGAGAGAGAATGAATGCCTTTGATACTGGCAAACATGGAAGAAGAAGTTAGCTCCTCAACATGTCTCTCATTTTCAGCTTGCCTCCCAAGAGACTTGGGGACATTTTCTCTTGGGTGAAATTACAGTATCTCTTCTCGGTTGAGTAATATCTCATCTCAATCTTATCTAAAGAAGTTTTCACTCTTGTCTATTTTCTGGCATATTCCAAACCATAGAACTTCTATGAGTTATGTTTACTATCTTCTTGGATGAATGGATTTACTCATTTGCTATTGTGTGTACCTAGCATTTGGTGGAAAGGAGTCGAGACTGCAGGTAAAAGCTTGGGTTACCCTCCCCCTTTAAGAGACAGCAACAGGGAAGCTAATAGTTTTTTTTGTTTGTTTTGTTTTGTTTTTCCCTTTTGAACCTAAAAGTCATGCCCCAAGACCAGCAATGTTTAGGGTGGCCAACAGAATTCTAGTCTGGCAACCTCCTTTTAAGAGGAGAATATGATAACTAGCCCCATCTCATAAACCTTTCTCTTGCTTTTCTCAAGATAAGAATTGGTCTCCATTGAAGAGAGATGAGCAAAATTCCAGAGATCTATTCCTTGCCTCCCCATGAATCACATTTAGACAATCCAGGTGGACATAAATAATAAATATGGGCAAACTCACCATATGCATGTTTGGACCATGACTGACCAAACAACCAAACTTTCTGCCTAATTTTCTGCCTTGGGTTCCCAGGGGGAAATTTCCCTTCTTCTCAAAACTTCATCTCTCCACCCTTCCTCCCCCAAATTGAACCTCTTTTGGTGTGCTTCGTAGTCATCCATGTCAACCAAGTGTATGCCTGCTCTGAGCCTTGCTGCTCTTCATTATTTCTAGGATTCTCTGACAACAAACAAACAAACAAAACACCCTGGAGATCTTTCTCCCTCGGCTTTCATTCTCTCATCTCATTGTTGGTTAAGTATTCCAATCAATGCCCAACTGTTTTCTTTGGAAAGGGGAAAGGGCTTTCAGTGCTGGCCTCTCTCCAGGCCTACCTGTCTCCAGGCCCACCTGTAGCTAGCTCTATCCTTCCACTTGGTGGTAGCTCTTTCCCTCAGGGACTTTACAGGTTCAGCACTGGCTCCTCTCCAGGTCCATGTCTGGCCTGTTTCCCTCTTTGGCATGATTGTATACTTCCTATTATACAGAAGCAGCTCTCTTTTTAAGCAGGAGTCTCCTTTGCTCACAGTAGCAAGGGGCTTATCCATCTTCTGATTCATACCCACTGTATTATCGCTTTATTGTTGTTCAGCCATTTTCAGTCCTGTCTGACTTTTCATGACCCCATTTCGGGTTTTCTTGGCAAAAATACTGGAGTGGTATGCCATTTCCTTCTCCAGCTCATTTTACAGATGAAGAAATAGAGGTAAACACAGTTAAATTACTTGCACAGTGTCACAGAGCTAGTAAGTATCTGAGCCTGGATTTGAACTCAGGAAGATGAGTCTTCCTGCCTCCAGGGCCAGTACTCAGTTCACTGTACCACCTTGCTACTCCTAGAGGTTCCTTATGTAGTACTTCTCTCAAGTTACATAATAATTAACATTATTCACATTATCTTTCTGTTAAATTCTTAACTTTGCCTTTTTCTGTCCTCTCCCAACTGATTCATTCTAATTTAAGTATGTAGATATAGATTGCCCAACTCTCACATCTCCAAATAAGCTGTTTGTATCCTTACAATTCCATTATGTAATTAACAACAATGATAATAAAAATAAGAGTTATAATTCATATTCAGCTTTAAGATTTGCAAAATACTTTATAAACATTATCTCATTTTATCTTCAAAAATCACTGAACTATCAGTGCTGTTATTGTCTCCATTTTCCAGATGATAAAACTTAGCTGGACAGAGGTTAAGTGGCTTGCCAAATATCATGAAATCCCTGTGTTAACTGGACTCTGGCCTCTTAACACAAAGGACTCTCTTTGGAGGCCTTTCTCTACAATAATCCTTATGAGCTGTTTCTTGCCCCATTTAAGATTTCCTCTGGCTATACCAAAATTTGGCTTGTGGCTTTCTCTCTGCACAAGGGTTTTTAGTTCTTCTGTAAGTATCCAAAATGAAAAAAGACATAAGATGTAGCCAACCTAGCACAAAGACAGAAGGGGTTCAGGCCTGACCCTCTCAATTCTCTTCCCCTTTTTGGAGGGTATCAAGAAATCCTCCCCTGTGGTCAAGTCCACCTTCCATCTGAACATAGAAAGAATAATGGAATCATGGTTCTAATCCCCAAATGGATGAGGCTTGATTGTTCCACAGAGCGTATTTCCCTGCTGTACTCATCTTTCCTTTCCTTTGGCTTTATAAAAATGATTCAGTATGCAGATCTCTTTTAAGGTTCAAGTGAGGACAGGAGTTCCATCTCTTCTCCCCTTTGTCACTGAGGCACCAAATTCTGTTTCTTTATCTCTTATTGAATTTTGCTTCTCTATTTCCATATCTCTATGTGGTACTTATTGCTAGGTGCATGTGTCTTCATGGAGAGAGGTGTCATGGACATGCAGGCTTTTCTCTAAGTCCACATGCAGTGTGGAATATTTTGGGGTGTGTATATATGTGTGTGTGTGTGTGTGTGTGTTTGCACGTGTGTGTGCATGTATTTGTGTCTCCATTTCCTCTACCTCCTTCTGTGTCTCTCTTAATCTGTGTCTGAATCC